TATAACAACAAAAAAAATTATATTAGAATTTTTTTTTTTTTTTTGGCACCGGGGACCGAACTCAGGTCTTTGTGTTTGCGAGTCAGGCGGCAGAATCACTGAGCTAAATCCCAGCCCTATATTAGAATCTAATAAGAATAAGCAGTTTAGGATTCAGAAAGTTGAAATTTATATCCTTGGTTTATAATATTGTTTAACGCAAACATACCAACCAAGCTGAGTTTCTGTTACATTCCTCTCAGCTGGAGAATAACTAAAGAAATCAAACTACATATTCCCCCGTCCTTTATTTACATGCATTTTGATTTTTATCAAATGATAAAAACAAAGTATTAAAACAAGAAAAAGTTTAATTCAAATTTGTTATATATATATATATATATGTGTGTGTCTTTTTCACAGTTCTGTTATAAAAATTATTCAGAACCTTAATTAGTCAATAATGAAGTTACTGGAGATTTGGTTTGGATATCAGTATCCTTCTTAATTAAATCAGGTGGACAATCAGAAATATACACAAATTTTTTTATTATTAGTTATCTACCTGAAGATATTTTAGGAAAAAATTTAAAACTTTATTTTATATATTTGAAACAACAGGATTTCAGATTTCCAAGTTATAATAAAAATAGAAAATATTGATTGAAATAAGTTATAAAATTCAGTCAATATGAAATAATTGATATTAGTAACCCGAGGTCAAATGTGACACTATATCCCTTTCTCTACACACTGCTTTTTCTCTTCAGTGTCTCGAGCACTTACGCTGCCTCGTGTGCGTTCCTGAAAGGGCTCACCCATTCATTGTGGATTAATGTTTAATAATTCCTTGGACACAAAAGTTTGAATACCTGAGCTTTTCAATGTCCTTCAAATACCCCTGAACTATGTAAGTAGAAAGAAGAAACTTATTGCAAATTGTATCAACAAAGATGCTGTAAAATATCACTTACCACTCACCCCAAATTGTAAATAAACAGCAAATTCAACATAAGCTATTATTTTTTTATTTTTCTTCTTCTCAAGACCAAGTCTAAAATTACTCCATCTATACACTAAAAGTTGATTAAGCCTTCTCAAAATATGTTATGTTAAAGTGTAAAAAGGTAAAATCTTATACTTTATTTATTGAAATATGCATTGCACATTTTAATAAAAATAAATTAGAAATATATTTAATGACTACTCATAGTTTCAATTTCTTTAAAGATTTAATTTCACTAAAGATTTTCATGTATTTGTTGCCTATATAATTGAAAATATCTAAATAAAATTACTATTTTATTCTTAGTTCATTATTCATGAAATATTTAAATATTTTATTTTATTTTAAATACTTTATTTAAATATTGTAAATATTAATAACATTTATATTATTTCTACTTATTTTAAAATAACCTTTTAGATTCATATGTGAAAAAATTGAGAGAAATTAAAAGTATTATATAGATATGACATTATTCTTTTTGCTATGTGTGCTACTTTACATTATGTTTATTGTCACTTAATAGTGTTTCTTTTCTTTTTCTTTCTCAGTACCGGGGATTGAACTCGGGTCCTTGCGCTTAAAAGGCAGGCCACCGAACTGCTGAGCTAAATCCCCGGCCCATTTTACAGTTTTTTTTGAAAAATATTTTTGCAATTTTATTAAAATCTTTGTAGAATACATTAAGTATATACATATAAGAACATTGGTAACACCCATTAATTATGTTGCATAATCTAACTGTGAGTGAATGTGTACATTTTATAAGCTTTTAGTTCATTTACTAATAATTAATCATGCCTAACTGGGGATCAAA